GGTGAGCTAGAGTGGTACTGAAGATGTCAAATTGATTTGACATGTCAGGTCAGTGTACATGACTAAGATACCCTTGATTGTCTACTAAAGACTAAGAAAGGAAAAAGATCACTATGCTCTTTTAACCATTATATGCCCTTAACGAAGTTGTTAAAATCAAATCTTAATGAGAAAAAAAGATGAAAATTATCCAGACAGAAAGCATACAATGACAGACCATTATAACAAGTTATAGAACATCATGAAATTCTTCCAAGTTAGTTGCAACTATTTCCCATAGATTTGTTGCACTATTAGAGACATGCGAACCTTTCATCTTTTCTTTTTCAACTCAACTTTCTTTCTTTATTTTTCTGAAATAAGCTATGACCAATGACTAGATTATCTTCATACTTGTGCAAACAACAAATAGCTTACACAACAATGCCAAACAAAAAATTACAGATTAATAAGTGGTATAAAAATAATAATAAGCTTTAAATATTTGCCAACTAGCTTTTTAAAATTCATAAATATACAAGTACCTAAAATATTAAATAGTATCTTTTAATACCATTAGAGACAAACCAAAATGGTTGTAATGCATGTATGGTACTTGAATTATATTTCATATAATTTGGTACTTGAACACAAGATTTATTTATGTGGCAACTAAACTACATTCATTTTGGTTTAGTGTGCATATTTAACTAATATGATTTCTATAGGTGCTAAGTGCTGCGTGCATACATCTTTTTTATGCTAAATAAAATATAGTTATACATACCTCTTCTGCCTTTTCATATTGCCCACAAGTTGTATATGCATTTATAAGTGCCATAAAAATAATTACTAAACGATTACACATATTCTACGAAGTTATGAATAAAATAATTTTATCTTGAGAAAAGAATTTTACCCATGAATAACAAAGTTATTCTATACATTATTTAGTAATAATTAAACATATTTAAAGCACCCCATAAAGTATTCCTAATCCAATATATATATATATATATATTCTTTGAGGAATAACTTTAAACACTTGTAAGCATATACAAACTATCAAAGCTATTTACCTTAAGGAGGCGTTTGGTTCAGAGGAATCTATATATTTTTTCTTGGAATCTTACTATTGGGTATTTGATTTCAAGGTTTGGTTCATGATAATTTGATTTTGAAAAAAATTGACATATTTTCAACATTACCCAAAGTCTCTAAATAAAAAATCCACCTTTTCTTGTAGTATTCTAGGATTTCGGAGGAAAAAGTAGTGTTATTTTCAAAATTGACCTGATTAAAAAATTATCAAATAGCCGTTACCATTATGAAAAGCATGTCTGAAAATGAATGCAAGTTAGTTGTAAGTTTATATTAGTAAAAAATTTGGTTTATATATGCATTTGGCATGAAAAATGCCTTTAATAATCCCTTACAAAAAAATTGAATGGGGTTATTTAAGGTATTTTTGGTTTAAAACTCCTTAAATAATCTTTAAAAATTTTTATGAGGGGATCATTAAAGACATTTTACCTAAAAAAATGTCTTGAGTGATTTTTGATATTATAAAAAAAATGCCTCCAATAATCACTAGAGGCGCTTTACCTAAAAAAACACCTTGAATGATTCCTGATATTATAAAAAATGTTATTTTAAGGCATTTTTTTGTCAGAAATGCCGTGAGTAATCCCATTAAATTTTTTGTAAAGGATTGTTCAAGGTATTTTTTGGGCAAAAACGCCTTGAATAATAAAAAAAAAAAGAGTAGGATTATTTAAGGCATTTTTTTGAAAAAAAAAAGGCCTCGAATAATCTCAAAAAAATTAAAAGAAATTATTCAAGGTGTTTTTAGTAAAAAAAATCTTGAATAATCCTCAGAAAAAAAATTGAAGGAGATTATTAAAGGTATTTATGGCCAAAACCACTTTGAATAACCCTATTTAATTTTTTATAATGAAATATTCAAAGTATTTTCTGGCCAAAAATGCTTTGAATAATCCTAAAAAAATGGGAGGGGATTATTCAATGAGTTTTTTTGCTAAAAACGCCTTAAATAATGCACTCATAAAAATTATTAAGGATTATTCAATACGTTTTTTATGAAAAAATGCCTTAAATAATCACATTATAAAAATTGGAGAGGATTATTGAATGTATTTTTTGCTAGAAATATCTTAAATAATTCCCTCATAAAAATTTTCGAGGATTATTCAAGGCGTTTTTGGCTAAATATCTTGGCTAACTCTATTCAATGCGTTTTCCAAAATAAAATGAGAGATGATTATTTAAGACATTTTTGACATAAAACACCTTAAATAATCTCCTCAAAAAAATTGGAGGGGATTATTCAAGGCATTTTTTAGGTAAAAATACCTTTAATAATCCCTTCATTTTAATTAAAAGAGATTATTTAAGGCCTGTTTAGCCAAAAACGTCTTGAATAATCTCGTTCAATTTTTTTAATGGATTATTCAAAGCATTTTTTAGCAAAAAATGCCTTAAATAATCCTAAAAAAAAATGAAAAATGATTATTGAATGTGTTCTTTTTGACAAAAATGCCTTCAATAAACTCTTCATTTTAATTGAAAGGGATTATTTAAAATATTTTTAACCACAAATATCTTGAATAACCTCATTTAATATAATTATTTAGGATTTAATATATATGAATGTTCTCTAATCAAACAAGTGGATCTGAAAACGGGATGCTTTGAAAATGAAAAAAATCTCTCGTATTTTTTAAGAGATCACATTTTTTCTTTAAATCTATGAGTTCGTGAATCAAATGCTGCATAAAATTTTAGAGTAATGGATGGCATATAAAACCTACCTCAATCATGCATTAATCACTAATTTTTTAATATATTAATTATCTATGATTAATAAAAACACAAAAAAGTTTAATTTCAAGTAATAATGAATCAAAAAAAAAATTAAACATATAGATGAAGAGCCAAGAGTTTAAATTCAAAGTAATAATAAAACAAAAAAAAAAGAAAAAAAATTAAGCAGATAGATGGAGAACCCACCTAAATCATTCTGATAGTTACTTTGATTGTGCTTTTCAGCGTAATCTTTGAATTTAAGGAGAATTAAGCTTGTGTCTTAAAAAAGAGAGAGAAAGATAATTAAACTTGTGAGCAAAAAGCCAAAACAAAGTTTCTTTTGTTTTACTTACTATTGCCGTTTTTTAAGAAAAGTATATACGTTTAAAAAAATAATAAAAAATATGACATGACATATGATGTGACTTAAAGTATTTTAATTAAGGGAAATAAGTTTAAAACAACTCTTATTAAGGAACAAAAATTTTAAATTATTCTGCTTTCGGAAAAGAAATCTATATATGGTTTGTACTTTTATTTTTATTTGTTTAAAGTGAAAAATAAAAAATAATTAAAAAAAGTCAAAGAGTAATAAATTAAAAAAAAAAAACACCAATAAATGGAAACTTAAAAAGTTCGAAAAAATAAAATGATGTGTAACAAAGCCACCTTTCTTTTTTCTGAAATGCCACGACACCCGAATATGTTAGATTGCCCAAGTTTTGCTTCCAGCTCCATCGACCATGTAATCATATATAATAATTATATATATGAATAGGTAAGAAAACTTCACAAATCAAATATTGTTCAAATTTATTTTGGTTCATACACGTGGCATTATTTAGCGGATCCTTTTTTTTAATTAAAATATTATCCTCTCTTCATGAATTCTAAGTTGCAAAAAATTAAAATCAGACGGTTAAAACTAGCAATCTGCTAATCTCAACCTAAATTGATCAATTGAAGATCCTCATATATATATTTTTTAATTTACACCAAGTCCATGCTCGACAAGGAGAGGAAGAGATTTTTTTTTTGTTAATTTGGTTTTATAGAAAATATAATGATATTTAGCTAAAATTATCCTGTTTATTTTTTATACTAATTATTTTATATGTTAGTAATGAAGTTTTCAATCTCAATAAATGCACTTAGATGATTAATACATATATTATAGAAAAATGTTTTGAAAGGAAAATAAAAGGAAAGTGATGGGTAGATTTGACATTTGATTCACTTATATGTTTAAGAATTAGAAAACAATCAAACATTGATATATCACATCTCATGGAATATATTTAATTGAGCTAAATTTAAAATATTGTCTAAAGAAAACGATGATGTAAGTAGGCTATTAAAGAAAATAACTAAAAAAATAAATATAGGATTAAGAAAATGACCTAACTTCCAACTGAAAACTACCTACCACCTTTCCCCGCCCTTCCCTCCCTTCTACTCCATTTTTTGCTTATTTCTAGGGCTTCACCGATATTCTATTTAATTAAATTTAAGCAATAAAAACATTTTTTTTGCCAACAAATATACATTGACAAATTGTCATACTTTTAATTTTAACAATTATGATTCGATGTTTATTAATTTTAAGTACAAAAAAATTTCTTTAAACACAATAAAATAAATAATAAATAATTAAATAATAATTAAATTAAAATATTTAAAGAATCTTTAAATTAAAATTAAATAATAAAAATTTTCAAACATTTATTTTTATTTTTATTAAATTGAAAATTACTTAATCGTCATGTTATGTTATGTCATTATTAATTTTAATTCAATTTGATAAAAATAAAAATTTAAAGATTTAATTAAATAAAAATAAAATTTTAAAAATTTAATTAATTAAAATAAAATTATAAATATTTGAATAATTATTTAATTTAAGTCACAAAATTTTCATATTTAAGTCAAATAATTAATTTAAGTTTCTCCCACCAAACTCAAACAAGAAAAACATTGTGAACAACTCCCTCCTTCACGTTGGGTTACCTTCTCTTCTTCTGTTCGTCTTTGGTCCAACTTCCTCTCTTTTTGGGGAAAAAAAAGTTCTACATTCTTTTAAACTCCCAAATTCTAGGGTTTGTATTTCGTTTCTTTTTTCAGAAATCCCACTTCCGTATGTCTTTCTCGCTCTTTTTTTTTATTCATTCCATTTCTGTTTATTTTCTCTTTGCTTTTCTTTGGTTTCTTCTTGAATTTGTTTATTTCTGTTTGGTTGCCGAGAAAACTCTTATCAAAACGAATAGGGAAAAAGAATGAGAATTTGAATGTTATGTCTGATGTTTTGATCGGAAAATTTGATGGATGGGTTCCTTCGTTTTAGTTGATTGCTTCTTTTGTTTTTTAATTCATTGAAAAGAAAAAAAAGATAGCAAATAGGAAAGCGTCAGAGTTTAGAGAAAAGTTTCCTTTTGTTTTTTGTTTGTTTTTCTTAGAAGTTGAAACAGAGGTTTTAGGAATTTGAGAGGTTAGAATTCTGGTGGAAGGTTTGATGTCTGGTTGTTGTGCTTGTGCTGTTTGGTTGCCTAGAAAATTTAAAGGAATGTGAACTTGTTGAAAGGCTTAATTCAACTATGATAGATATTATCTTAAATGACTAGAAGAGAACAATGTGAAAGTTCAAAGTTCAATTAAAGTCCATGGTTAGATTTTATGTTGCACCCGATACTAATAGTCATAGCCTCATAGGCTCATAGCATATAATAGCTGACCTTTGTTGGGTGGGAATTTGAAATATTTTAATTTTGAAAATTTTCTTGCTTCTGAGGGTAATATTTACTCGCCAGCAATTTTTTACTCGTAGAATTAGGTAAGTCATTTCGAATTTTCTGGCTGGATCCTGGAAGACTCCAAGAGGATAATGAATTTGAACCAGAGTAGAGCTTTTTCCTTTTGGTGCAGTGCAGTTGCACTAGCCCAGGGCATTTATGAAGATGTGTGTTCAGGAAAAATGAAAAACCTTTTCTTGCAGCCTTTTGGATGTCTTCTATCTTTTTTGCTTGGAGAAGGTAGAGAAATGGAGATGCTTGCTGTTGAATGAGAAGATGAGGTCTATTAGATAGGAACTTTACATTAGCCTGTTATCAGATAAAGTATTTGATACACAATTTGGTCATAGTTCTGTGCTATAAACTATGACCTGACTTGCCTTTATATCTGAATAGACCAAATGCAATTTGTTACAACTGTGAGTTATCAGTATGTTTTCCTTTGCTGCTTGATGGACAAGAAAAAAAGCCTCACAGATTGCAACTTCAGTTAAGGAAAGAAGTTCTTTAGTTCACATTTGGGGTCATTACCTGTCAACTTGAAAGAGCTTAGCTTACCCTTGAGTGAGTCAGTTTGAAGATTCGGATCAACTTGGATTGGATGAATAGGAAATGAGAAGAGATGTGATTCAGAATGAATATATTTATCTGGTAGAATAGATAGTAGGAATTGTAGTGCAATAATTTGGTTTTTCTGCAACAAACACGAGCTGCTGTGACAATAGCAGCAAATTCAATAGAAGTAGAAGATAATAAAACAAGATGATGTGCTGGAGAAAAAGCTGAACGCCTATGTTTTTGCAGAAGCTATACACTAGATTGAATAACATGGAGAATCCAAGTAAAGCATGGTAGCTTGGTCGAAGCTGGTTTTATTGATTTCTTTATTCTAATGCATTAAGTGCAAGACTCTCTCTTCTCATTTAAATTTTTCCAAAGAGTCAGATTGTTGTCTAAGTATTCAATTTCACTCCCCCTTTTTCTTTTCTTTTATTTAAGGAAACTACCACTTTCTATCTTTTCTTATGCTACAAGATTTATAAAAAATTCTGTTTAAAGCTCTTGGATAATACCAAAAGAAATGGTCCAATCAAGTAGTATAAATTTTTCGACCTTTTAGTTTGTAATGTTCTGAATAAGTGAATATGTGGGATATTCCACAAAGGCTAGTTTAACTTATGGGATTTTGAAACTCTCTGTTTTGTTGCTACTCCTGTTTTGTGGTTGTTTATATCATTATTTTATTTAATTAATTCTTCCACTTGTTTGAAATTATCTGTATCCTAAACCATTGCAAAGGGATAAGTTATCTGTCCTACCCCTAACACTAAGTTTGACAGAATTTTTTTCTTACCTCTGGCTGGTTGGATAATTTCTCTTCTTTCCAGATTATGTGATGTAAGTTTAGTGAGATGTGGGAGTTACTTTATATTTTCATGTTTAATTTTGATTTGACTCACAATATGGTAAGTGCAATTTGCAAGTATTTTCATTTGCAAGTATTTGAAGAATGTCATGCATCTTTTTCCCCTAAATACTGGAAATATGGAATTAAGAGCTTAGATCCTGAAATGAATCAAATGGTCCTTAATTGCTAGTAAGACCTTATTTAACTGTTGTGGCTGAGCTCCTATTTGTATTATGCTTACTTTCCAGTAATTCCTTTCGGCTTTTGTTCACCATGTCGAGTTTGGAGGAGCCACTGGGTTTTGACAAGCTGCCAAGCATGAGTACTATTGATAGGATTCAGAGGTTCTCAGCTGGTGCTTGTCGGCCTAGAGGGGATGATATGGGCTTGGGAAACTGCTGGATTGATGGGAGGAGTTGCAGCACCTCTAATAGTTGCGAGTAAGTGAGATACTGTTATCTGTAGAAATGTTCCTCTAAGAGCACTCATCTAGTCTTTTTTGTTCCCCAGAAGTTAAAATTAAAATTTTGAAGTGATGGAATCAATTTTGAAACAATTTTCACTTTTCTTGATATTTAACAATTTCACACAGGAGTGAATAGTAGTTTATTGTAGTAATATGTTGTTTAACATCTGTGTTTATAACTCATAAGCAAATATGGTACTTTATTTTGCAAGTCTTGGTTGACTAAAGCTGTCCTCCCCGTTCAAGGCTAATGATGGGTCAACTTAGTTGTAGAATTTGAAAATTAACTAAATGGCCTGGCCGTTCTTTCATTGATAAAATAAGACCGAGCTTTAGATTTTTTTTTTCTTGAGCATGGCTCTAAAACATAATTGAGCTACTCAAGCTCAACTTTACTTTGGTTCGATCATCTTCAACTCAAATAAGGAGCATGAAAATTGACTCAGTCACACACTCAAGCTTGAATTCAAAACTCAAATAAAATTTCTGAATATGTGAATAAATGTTATGTTTGATTTATTTATTATCTTATATTTAAAAATATTAAAAAATTCAAAAGTTTGGTTAGGACCACTCAAGTTAAGCATTAAAATACTCAAATTTCCCTTGTGTTGTTGCTTGAACCACTTGCGTTCATACTTGGTTCAATAGTTACTGATTCATATTAATGAGCCAAGGTTGAATAGCTCATGGGTAACTTGATTCGTTTACTCCTGTGGACGTGCATGCACCTATACTGTGGATCAATCTTAACTCAATGATAATGTTTTTCTTGCCCATATTGGGTTTCTGTTGATTATATACTTAGAAAGTACTCAGAACTTTTTGGTGAAACCATCAATGGGCATCATCCAATCATTTGAAGGGCATTAGCACCTATTTCTGTAAAAGTCAATTTTAGGAAGTCGAAGGGCAAAGTTGCATGCTTTTAGTTTAGCCTTGAAATTTAGTGTATAATCTATGTGGTCAATTGTTGATGTTCCAGCTTTTGTCTCTTGGTTTTGTACCATAATCAGTGAAGGGTTAGTGTTCTCCATGTATCAGCCATCAGTTTATTGACATTACTGAAACATCTGTTTTCCAGTGAGGATTATGAAGAATATACAGGGGAGGCATTCCCATGGAGAAGACATGTGAAAGATGTGTCAGAAGGTGGAACCTTCAACCGAAGGGCTTCAAGTCTAAGCAAGAACCGCATGAAATTCGAATATGTTTGTGACTCAAGGTACTTGCCAGATCATCAGTGTAGCTGCAAGTGCAATGACAGAGGCATACATGGCATAACAAATAAGGTAATTAAATAACCTGAAGAGAACTCTATATTTTTCATTTCTCTTAGAACTTTTAGGAATTTTTGTAATATTCATTTCCCAGATTATTAAAATACCTTTAGCTTTCCTTTCTTGCGTAGTCAGTATGTTCTGTCTGTATGTGTGGAATGTGGTTTGTCCTGTGGTTCATTATCTAATATTTCTTAGCTTAGATACTGTTTCTTTTTCTTGTTAATATCAATGTGTTTGATACCAAATTGACACTTGAGCTGCTTCATCTAAAAACTTTTACTCATGTGAAGCAGTTTTTAAAAGGTATACCAAAGTTTGTGAAGATAGTAGAAGTTGGTCCAAGGGATGGATTACAAAATGAGAAGAATATTGTACCTACATCTATAAAGGTTGAATTGATTCGGAGATTGGTGTCTTCAGGGTTGCCTGTTGTTGAAGCTACGAGTTTTGTGTCTCCTAAATGGGTTCCTCAGGTATCGTGACTTGCTTGTTTTAGATTGAGATGGTACCTTCAGTTTTTTTTTTCTATGGTTTCAATTTCATTTAAATGCAAAAAATATTATATTTATAACCTCTAGAGGATGCGTATGATGTTCACTAGTTAACCCTTATATTGCCTGTGTCTCAATTTGGAATTTTGGATGCACTTTTTGTGTTGGTTTTCAGACCAAGTCCATCAAAAATTAAAGTGGACTTTATAACCATGAGCAATGTTGGCAGTGATTTTGGGTTCAATTCCAGATTTTCCCTTGGCTTGCAAGGGAATGACTGCTGATTTTGCTTCTTTAGCAGAATGCAGTTCATGATTTCTGGTCCTCAGTTTGAGTAGTTATTTTCACTAACATCTATTTGTGTCTGCATTTATTTGTCTCACTTGTTTTCATATATCTGATGTTACTTCCATTGACTATGGCCGTCAACAGCCTAGTTATCTTAACTGTTTACTCCACTAAATACTTCCTTTAAAAGTTCTACTAAAACCTATCATCCTGCCCCTTTTTTTACAGTATGGGAACACGCCATGCTAAGGCCAAATTGCCTTCCTTTTAGCCTTCTTTGGCCTGTTTAAAATTTTTAATTATTTTGTAAAACAATTAGTACTGATTTAGTATACATGCAAATAAAGAATAAATTATGCACAAATAAGAAATCTTTAGTAAAGTTCATACCTCAATAATAATCTTTGTATGAAGGTCCTCTTTTACTCTCTTGTGCTATAATTTTTCTGTCTCTAGCAAATTAAGGATTATGGCTGAAACATTGGATGAGTTTGACAACATTTAACGTGTTTGTTAGCCAGTCAAAATTCTTGTAGATGGTGGTTATTGATTCCTCAAATCATTTTGAAGATACTCTAATAATGAATATTTCAAGTCGATAACTAATTATTCTTTTATTAGTCTTGTGCAACCTTGTTAATTTTTCTTGAGGGCTCCTCTTGCATACAAGTGTTAATCCAATCTAGAATGGAACTGAATTTGTTACCTTTGTTTGTTGTTTAACAGCGACCTTGATTAACCTTTTTTTCCAATCCATTCAGGCTATAGTTGTTTGCCCCTTAAAGTCTGGTTGACTGGTATGATTTGATGGATATTGATGAGCAAGTATAAAATGCTGTAAGGTGATGATGATATGGGCTATGTCCAGGAGAAAATCTTGAGTAAAGGTTCTTAAATGCTAAAATCTGCTTGGAAATGTGTGAATCACCACTGTGGAAACAGAAACATCAAGCTGTATTTTTCTGATAAAAGTTTTTCTAACTGATTCGTGCTTTCTGTTCAGACCTAAGGATGAAACTGAGGGAAAATATTAATAAAAGTATCTATCATCAAAGTTGAATGGTATGATGCAGCGTTTTCTTTGCATGGCACCTTTATGTAGTCTTGCTGCCATAGGTTCTATTTTGGATTATCATCAAAGTTAAATTGTTTTTTCTCTCTTTTGTTCTATGTCTTTGTTGCAATGTGCACATGCAGTACCTACTAAATATATGTTTATATCTTGTTTTGTGAATTTTAATTAACAACCTTACATTCTTACAGACTTATTCCATGGGAAACGATTATTGTTGGATGCAAGTGAGATACTCGTTTATCTCTTGCTGATGTTTGAAATAACTTGCTTTTGATTCATTCTTTACCGTTTTATATAGTTAGCAGATGCAACAGATGTAATGAAAGCAGTTTGTGACTTGGAGAATGCCAGATTGCCAGTTCTCACTCCTAATATAAAGGTTGGTAATTTTCTCTTGAAAAGAAAATGAGGTATCAAACCATGGCCTGGTGGTGTCATAGAAATTTCCTAATCTGTCTTAGCAAATTCTTCTAGGGCTTTGAAGCAGCTGTTGCAGCAGGTGCAAAAGAAATAGCAGTCTTTGCATCTGCTTCCGAGTGCTTTTCAAAGTCAAACATTAATTGTAGCATCGAAGAAAGCCTTGTCCGCTACCATGCTGTTTGTCATGCTGCTAAGGAGCTTTCAGTTCCCATACGTGGGTATGTCTTCTACAACCTTATTGTCATTATATTCATGGCCGATAGCTACTACTGCTGTTTTCTTCTCTGTATTTAGGTAAAGAAACAGAATTTTGTTCCCTGAGCAATATCTCCAAGGTTTAATTCTCCTGTTTTTAGTTTAGTTGAATGATATACTTGCTTATTGGTATTAAATGACTGGAATACAGTACCAAATGTTTGCAGATTTTCAGATGTGCACAGTTTGTACATTGGAAAATTCTGCTTGAGTTGTGAATGTAGTTATTCCCTTTGTCTTAGTATTGATGTCTGCCGTACAGAATCATTGGAAATGTGAAATTTGCAAAATTTCAGCCATCTTAAGACTTTTTGAGCTTTATCCTTCTGTCTATCTTTTCTTATCTATTTCAAATTATTTCCAGGAGAACGCTTGATAATGAGCAAAGCATGCTTTGCTGGTAAAAAGTTATTTTTATAATTTGTTAACTGACGTTTGGTGTTTGGTTTGTAGTTAAATATATTTTAACTATCATTTCTGCTGTTCTAATTCTGATATTTGGTTCTATAACAAGTCAAATGCAATATAATTTTAGTTTTAGTATTTATTTGTACTTTATTCATTTGGACTGGTATGCAGGTTCTAACTGCTTGGTGCTAAAATTTTACAGGTATGTATCATGTGTAGTTGGATGTCCAGTGGAAGGAGCAATTCCTCCGTCCAAAGTGGCCTACGTGGCAAAGGAACTTTACAGAATGGGTTGTTTTGAAATTTCCCTTGGTGATACAATTGGAGTTGGCACTCCTGGTAATGCTGTAGAGTCTAGACTGTCGCTTTTTAGAAACAAAAGTTTGTGGGTTCTTTGTAATTCCACTGCAAGAAGCATGTAGGAATTATCTGAAATCCTGTTCTTCTCTTGGATTTATATATGGGGTTCAAACATTGTTCCTCTGAATTCTTTGCCGTTTCTCTTTGGTACAGGTACTGTAGTTGCCATGCTTGAAGCAGTAATGGCCGTTGTTCCTGCTGAAAAGCTTGCTGTCCACTTCCATGACACTTATGGACAATCTCTTCCAAATATTTTAGTATCTCTCCAAGTAAGCCTTAGAACAAACACAGCCAAGCCATATATAAAATCATAGTTCCTTTACTGCAGTATGAATTACACAGTTCAAAACCCATGACGGATGTGCCTAATACAAGCTTTACTTGAAAGTTGAATAATGAGACAGGGTTCCTCTAAATACTTACTGTTTCACAGCAAAACATGCCACTGGTTCGGGACCCCTCCACCACTAACTAAACAGCCTAAGCTGTCAATGCATAATTGCCCTGAAGGGATAAATATTGATTGCAGAGCATTGCCAGCTAGTATTCTTTTTCATCTGTCTTATCGACAGTTAGAACTGTTGTAACGTAATAGTGATTTTAGAATCTTCTTATGTTCTCTCAACAGATGGGGATTAGCACAGTGGATTCATCGGTAGCTGGCTTGGGTGGTTGTCCATATGCCAAGGGAGCTTCAGGGAATGTTGCTACTGAAGATGTGGTCTATATGCTTAATGGCCTTGGTGTCAAAACAAACGTAGATCTACCAAAGCTCATGTCTGCTGGGGATTTCATCAGCGAGCATCTGGGTCGCCAATCTGGTTCGAAGACTGCTGTTGCATTGAGCCGGGTAACAGCTGATGCCTCTAAGATATAAAGAGATAAAATACCTATAATTATAATTCTATCCACTTGAATTCTAGCACAATGGGGAACATTCATACCACGTTTTGTTCCTCTAATTGTATAATGTATTGCTATAGAAAATATACTCTGCTGTAATTGTTGTTTTGGCAATGGGAGATATTTATTATGTTAATTATTGAAGAAAATGTCTGCTGCTTTTCTGTTTTGTACAAAGAAAATATCATCTTTTGCCTTGACCGTTCATGGTAAAGTTGTAGTCCAGAACAAAGGTTTGTTAACTTAATCAGGTCGGCTAATGATAATGCAACCAGTCTGCAAAATGATTAGACTACAAAGCATTAACATTACATTTTATAACAATTAAAATATGTTACGAAAACGATATTAAAAATATACAAAAGTAACATGATTTAAAATTTTAACAAAAATCATAAATAGATTTGATAAAAATAAATAAATGTATTTCTTGTTTGATGTATTAATATGAATTATGATATAATAATTTTTTAATTTTATATATATATTTGATATAAAATAGATACATAATAAATATATAAATTGTCATTTTTAATCATGGTATTTATAAACTCTCATAAGATGATTAAGGAAATACAATCATGCTTGGAGGTGCTCATGTTGGGGGCATAAGAATGGCAGAATAATTAAACCATGTTCTACGCGGATTATCCTATCAGTTCTAAGCATTCTTTTGGGTTTTGGGATAATTTTCTCCTACCTTAACTTTATAGACTCCATTTAAATGTCTCAACTTTTAATGTTGAGGTGTTTTCCAGAAGACCCGAGGAAAAAAAATCAAGGTTTGTTAGGTGTCGTAGCTAATGATAGTTATGGAGATATGGCAATGATGGTAGAGCACCATGGGTTTTGACCAGTAAAAAAGAACACAACAAAAGAGAGAACAAAAAGGTGAAAAATAATTAAAGAGATGAGACCCTGTTTCTCATTGCTTGCCCAGCAATTTATATATTTCTAAGCCTTAATGATGGCTAATGAAGTAATAACCAGATTGTCTGATATCTTTTCTTTCTCCTGCAGGTGCAAACTCAAAAATGTCAGTCAGCATTCATTCTCAGCTCTTTCCAATACCCTCAAATTAAGCACTATCAAGAGTGGTGGGTGTGGCATTATTAAAATTAAAAATATGGCTCCGATGATCTCTGCCAATATTTTTACATTAATTTGTTCCAATGCATGGTCTGCAAGAAGAGAGAAAGCATGACCAATTGAAACATCGAGGAGAGATGAATGGTAGGAACCGAAAGTTTCCAAAACAACTCTTCTGCTCTTCTCCAAACCAAAAACAAAAATTAAAGTTCTTATAACAACCAGTCTAAACACATAGCTGCAAAAGCTGAGGATTTGTATTGCCCTCTGTAGTTCAGCATACTTTTCAGCAGTGCCCCAAGAACCAATTAACAGTTGTTTATATGAAAGAGCTAGCAATGATGATTTGCTTTCTCTAACCCCAAACATGCATAATATATGTGATAATTCTCCCAAAATATTAGTGTTGACTTTGCCACAGTACATGAAACGGAATTGTTTTAAGCGTGTTAATCCCTTACATTAAATCTTTAGTAATTTCAATTATGCGCCTTGACCTTATCATGACTTTTTGAAAACTTGAAATTCTTTAAATTTCAAATATTCATTTACTTAATCTTTCTTATTCATTTTTTGCCTTAATTTTCTTGTCCAACTTGTTTATTACAAGCCTTCTACCCTTAAGACAAGAGTAATGTCTTTCCCTCTCAGTTTTTTGGGTTGTTATATGTTAAAGGTTAATTTTTTTCACCCTTAATTGTCTTACATGTGAATGTGAAAAGGGGTTATTAAAAAGAAAATACTTTTTATTAAAAAACTATCAACTCGAATCTCCTTGACAATAAATGTTAATACAAAGAATTTTACCATTGGACTGAACTCACTTTTATAATATTATGGGATGTATAATTATATAAATTTGTGAAAAATAAAATAATACTCACACAGAATCCAATTGTTTTGCCTCTATTTGCTATACAACTTAACTAGCATTACTCCTTTTGATTTATTCAAGAAATATATAACATGCAAAGAAAATTATTATTGTTATTATTGTTATACAATATATTTTTTTAAATTACTATTATAATAAAATATTACATACATATAATTAACTAAATAATCAATTATTATATTATAATCATATTACGATCACTGAACAGTCAATTAACAAACTAAAACCTAATTATATAGTAACACTTAAATATAATACCTAAGAGTGTTAAATAGATAGAAATAAGTATCGCTATTAACATATAAACATACAACGTTGAATTTAAGAATTAAAATATTAACAAAATTAACAAAAAAATTGAAAAACACAAAATATTAAATATAAATATAATCCGTTGTAGCAGTTCTAATAATAATTACAATTAAATCATAAATAAAATTAAGTAGTTAAAACTATGAAGTACAATTTTGTTTCAAATTATTATTAATATTAATATATAAATTAGATTAGAATTTAGCTAGTTAAAACTAGCAACCAGTAAAATTATTAGTTAATTATAATTCTAATTTTTTTATAAATATTAAATTAAAAGTAATTTAAAATGACAAATACCAATTGAGAAATATAATGAATAAATGTGCTCATTTTTGTAATTTCAAAAAAAAAAAATGTTACACCCATATTTTCAATATAGAGAGAAAGGATTAAGTTAGACAATGTAAAAGTAATTACATCCTTTATAATTTCATGTATAATTAATATTTTAATAAATTAAATCTAGAATTTAATAATATTATGTAAAATTTTAAATCAATTCGAAAATATACATGTATAATGTCTCTGGAAGCTGTTAAATAATGGCAAAAACCATGTTGGAGGTTGAAAAGAAATGGGGTAGATAAAAGGGGGCAATCTTTAAAGAAGATTTTCAATACATTATACCTAGTTTTTCAGGTCATCGGGCCCTCCTGAGTGACAATCGATTAACCATGATTGACTTTCATGTTTTTGGCTTTATTTTCTTCTCTGAATTATATATTTGAAAAGTGAATGAAGACAGCATCATGTTTTCCCTGGAAAAAAGTTCCACTCTTTGGCCCATCTGTCAATTCCTACCTGTTTGACTCCTCGGAAATGATTTCTTCTTCGTTAAACCTGTGGTTAAAATAAAAAACACATACAATAAACAATAGATGCAGATGAATATATGTTCATACTCCCATACTTTTTTTCTTGATCTTAGGCGATTTGGTTGGTTGGGTTATTTCATTTTTCAATAGGTGAAAGATAAATTATTACATCATTCTGATGCAAAGCTGTTATATATTCTCAATATAATTACTTGGGTTTAACATATATAGTTATGTTGTTCTACAATTCGTAAAATTAATAATAGTATATTTGATTCAAGTTTGATTTATCAATAGGTACATGTACATTCGACCTGAGAGAACAAAAAATGAAAACTAAATTTTGGTGGTCTTGAAGGTTTATGGTATTAGAAAATGATCATGGAAGTTAAATTTAATCGGTTTTGAGAATGGAAAGACCAGATTTTAGAGATAGTGATTGATTTGAAGGATTAAAAACCATTGATATATATACAGATAAAGACAAATTAAAAAAAAAAAAAACACAAAATTTAGATTAAGAAAAAGAAAATACATGTATATTACCGATAATAATCAAGCTTAATTTAGAGCGTGATCATAGTTGTTAAAATTAACTTGAAATCTTGGAGATAGATCTCATGTTCTCACTTTCAGAGTACTTCTTTAAAGACATTTTCCTCTTTTTTTTTTTTTTTAAAAAAAAAGAAAGTCATTTGCCCTTTTCTCCTTTGCTCATTTTAGATTTTTTTTTTCTTTCCTAGTTCCAACCAACCATAAAACATACAAAGTACTCAAATAATACTAAAACTTTTAACCATATGCCTAGATGGTAGAAAAAGTGAGATGCATGCAGTAGATATAATATATCCAACAAAATCACAAAGAAAAATCACCGAATGCTCCAACACCAAAGAGCAACACATCTTTTCTCTCTGCAGGTAGATACAGATTTCCCATGTAAAACTATGGCCTCAGCCTCTCATGATCATATCAGACTTCAAATTCCAATCCCAAACTCCTCCTTCACCCATTTTATTGCAGTATCAGGCACCAAAACCTATGTATTTTGACTCTATCCTCCTAATATAGTTAGCTGTTTCATATTCAGAGCTCAAACTCCAAGGTTTTCTCATCAGGAAAAAACCAAAAACCTTCAACAAGTTCAGAAAACCACATCCTAAAAAACAAAAGAAATAAAGCCACTAAGAGGCTGTCGTTTCGACCAGTTTCAATCAGGGAGCCTTTGGGTATTAGATTTGAAAGAGAAAGTTTATTTGTTTGGTTTGGTTTTGCTATCTAGGTTTTTGGGCTAAAAAGGATTAACCCCATGCATGTTTTGTATAATTCTGAAGAAATATGAAGCAGCAGATGGGTTTAAGCAAAAACTTTACTTGCTTTTATCTCCTCCTCCTCCTACTTTTGTTGTTGCTGTTTCAGTTAGAATCTTCATCTTCAACTTCAACTTCAACCCATGATCATGGACCTGCTAGGCGTGGAAGCTTCAAACCTGTTCCAGCTTCTTCTCAACAGGTTAGGCCCGTTCAATCCTATGGTGGCTTTGAAGCTGGAAATCATGATCATAAAGTTAAACATGGTGATGATGATGAAGTTTTTGGTGATGAAAAGAGAAAAGTTCATACAGGTCCAAATCCTTTACATAATCGATGATTTAGAAATAAAATACAATAAATCTTGAATATTTTAATTCCACTTCTTTCCTTAAAGCTGTGAATTTTTTTCTCTTTTATTCTTTTTTTTCTTTTACTAATGATATTGGATGGATATGAGATTTTGTTGTTTTGTTCATAGGAATTTTAATTAATGTAATATGAAGACAAGCAACTTTGCAGTTGCATAAGAAGAGATTTTTTTATTTTTTGTGAATTTTTTACAATTGAGATTTTGGTATAAAGGAAAAATTATAAGAATATAAACAAAGGCATGAGAATAAAAGGATAATCAATGTTTGTTGCTATTGATGGAGTTGTTGGTGTAATGACTATGACTATGAGAGGAAATGTTTGTTATGTTAGGTGGATGTTTTATCATTTATTTTTTTGGTTGTAAATTTTTTGTATTAGAAATTATTGAGAACCCTAATTATTAAAATTAAGAATTAAATCTTCTATTAACAGATTATGTGATTTGTTGGTTTAGTTGTAAATTAACTAGTTATTAATTATGACAATTAAGATGTCATTTTTCTTCTTCAATAATGATGGATTTGTTCATCAATAATTCCTAATTATAGCAAGTTTGTCCAATATAAATTAATTAAAAAAATAATGCGGTCAAATTATTTGATATTACTGTAATTTTTCCTATGATATAATATTACAAGTTCTTTATCTAATTAAGTACTATGTTGTATTTTTGTCCCTTTTGATATGAAAGAAAAGAAATAGTACTACTATTATTTCTCCTACTTGGAATTGGATTGCCATTTTTTTTTTTTTTTTTAAATAAGATGAAGCATAAATTAATTAAGTTGAATATTGGAATGGAGGAAAGATCAACTTCCTCCGGTGTAAAACTAAAATATTTTATTTCTTTTAATCATTAATTTTAATATATTCAAGAAATGAGAGAGATAAATTTTTAAAAAAAAAAGTGCTTCAACTCATCCATTAAATTTATTGAAATCAATTGTTAGAAAAAAGACATAAAACTTTTTTTTTTTTATATAAGTTAACCCCTCCCTTATTGGAATATATATTTTAGAATAAATAAATTAAGAAGTTCTCCTTGTCATATTTTAGAATAAGTAAATAAATTAAGTTGAACATTGGAATACTTAAAAATGTGAAAAAAAAAAAAAGTAAAAATTTGCCATTATACTACATTTTTATTGAATTTTGTCATTGTATTTTCATTTTTGTTATTTTCAAAAAAGAAGTCTAATGGAATTGAAATATTTCATGAAATATTCCATTAATGCAAATGATAAAATTTGTTACTGTATTTTTTATTTTTGAAAAAAAGTAATTAATTAATTGAAATATTTTACAAGCTGTTCTATATATTCATGCAAATGATAAATTTAATTGATAATGACAACTTTTGTATTTTCATGCATATATTAGTAAAAATTCAAGCCTTAATGCCTCTTTCCTTCAATTATATTAAGCAAGTTCTACCTATAAAAATTTTTTTTGACACATATTAAAAAGCTCAAAGAGAGAACTCGAACCCTTAAATTTGTATTTTTTTTCTCAAAATTTTACTTTTTCTCTTGACTAAATAAGTAACATTAAAAAATTAAAAATATATAAAATGGCGTATTTCAGATCGATGTCTTCCAACAATTGCTGTAATATGAAAAATTTAGAACTTGTTTTAAAAGTATAATATATAGTTTTTTTTTTCCTTTTACTAAATATATTTTTTATTGTTAGATTTTGATATTTTTTCAATTAAGTTAAAAATATTGTGTTAAATTACATTCAATCAAATATAGATGGTATAAATTTGATGGGTTAG